CGCATCTCGAAAGGTGAAAAACAAAGAAAATGCGTGTCTGTTTCGGCATGGCCATTGATCCAATTAAGACGTCACGACATGGTAATAAGACCGACTCCGAGATTGTGCTCGGATCCATCTCGTCATGCTGCTCTCGTGTGGCGGCAGAAGCATTCGGTTTTGCTTTTTGTGGCATATTTGCTTCCCGTGACTCTGGCTGGGGGCACTTGGCGCAACAACTGCAGGTCCAAATCTCATTCAGTCGTGAGATCTGAGGAGTTCTGACGAGTACCTTCTATCAAAAACTGAAGCTGTGGATAAGACATGTGTTATCAGGGGCCAAGGCGACGCCGCCATGAAAGTGTCCATGCCTAATGACATCCAGACAATGAATCCTCCTCCTTGATTGGCACTACAAGTCGCCTCTGCAGACGGCCCAGGAGATGGCAGGAACACGTCGCATCTAGTACTCCCAATATTTGCCGACAAAGAGTATCCAAAAGTAAAATGGCGGTACTCCAATCGACCACTTCTGCTAAGCGTCTAATATCGTTTGTGCAGATGGCCTTCTGCTTGATAATTCCTTTTCCTCCAAAGGGAGGTGGTACTAGTATAAAGTTGGTGTATAAAGTTGGTGGCTGCGAATGAGCCACATCTTTCAAGGGAAAAGACAACGAAATCTTCTGGTAGGGCGGTGAGCGTGGCGCCGCTTGCGCTCTCCCGCAATGTTGGTTTTATGGATTCCTAGGGAGTCTGGCTTCTATCTGGTACTAGGATTAGTAGTACTAGTAGTACAGAGTAGCGTGTAGTACAACATTTAGTTACCAGCTGCAGTTCGTTGGTCAAAGAGACCGCCCCACATTGCCAGTTACCAGTCCCGCAGCCAAACCACTTGACGACATTCGCAAACTGCCATTGTCCGAGCTCTATTGAGAGATACCCTCACGCACCGCTTCACAATGGAGGTGGACAGCGGCAGCGAAGTTCTGAGCAAGATCGCAGCAGGCGATCCGGTTGAGGAGTACGTCCTATGCTCACGCCTGCTCATTTCGGTTTATCCCCACCCGTTTGGATGCTAACGACCTGGATCAGAGGCACATGGCCGATCCTCTGCGCCGCCATCATCGCGCGGTTGGACAAGGTATCATTTGCTCAACTATCATCGAACTGTATACATATGCAAACTTGGGCTAATTCTGATGCAGATTGCGCGCAATGACTTCCCCATACCAACCCTTCCGCCGCCACCGCCTCGCCCTGCGACGCTAGATAACCGTCTGCTCTCCCCGCTGCCCTCATCACCATTAGAGCACACAACATCTCGGGAGGCGAATAAAGAAGGTTCAATTGACGATAAACCAACCGAGCCCGGCCCTGCTGCCCCGGGCGAACTGCCAAAGCAGATCGAGGACATGTTGACGGATATCAAGAAGCACCTCGAGACGTTCGAGTCCTATGCGCCGCACACGATCCAGCGACTGGGAGAGCTGATATTGGAGCCCAGGGCACATTACAGGGCTCTCGCATCGTATTTACACGCTGTCGACCGAGTGGTTCGAGTTACATCCGGTACCAATATATACCCTTTGCCGCCCGCCATTCCGGACATGTCGAGCATGGAACTGAACGGCGACGAGAAAGGTCCTGCTACATCCGTGTCATGGAGTAACCCCACGCTCCCGACGCTGGGCACAGATGAGTCCCTGGGGGGAGCCCTGCTGACTCCCATCCCGTGGCTGACGAGACGAAGCCCCGAGGGCAACGGAGATGTACCCGTCTCAGCAGGAGCACAGATCCACAGCGAGAGCACAGAGACAATCGATGGACCAAACGGCATGGGCAGGATCGAAACCGTATCAGTCAGTGTCAACGGCATCCCGTCCACAGGGCACGCACGCGGCGTCACTCAAGGCGAACTCCTCCGCCAGGAACAGCGTGCCGGCGTTGTCCCCGTCAGTCAATTGAATAGGAATCAAGAGTCACTAAACGAAGACGACAAAGACATGGACGAAGAAGAAGAGGAAGTACCCCACGCACGCGGGCCCGAAGAGATTGGCGTAGGTGACACAGGGCCCCAGGGAGTGACGACCAGTTACATGGGGGAAGACGGTGTCTTGATGCAAGGAATCGACGTCGAAGCAGCCGTTGGTCGTAAGCACGACAACGACTACGAACACGCCCAGCAAGAAGCCAAAGCCAAGGACGACGACGCAAGCAGCACATCCAGCACCGAAAGCACGGGTACAAAACGCGAGGCAGAGCAGGAACTGGAGGGGGAGCCGGCCAAGAAGGTCAAAGAGGACGACGATGAATCACAGGACGTTATGCTAGATGAAGCCTCGGCCGAAACCACGGAAGCCAACACGTCAAAAGGCGACGGTGACGGTCCTGTAGAAGAAGACTCTCCGCCAGGTTCCGGGGAGGGAAAGGAATCTGAGAAGCCAAACGATGCGTCGAGTGACAAGGCGGAGGCAAGTGCCTAGGTGGCGACTGTAGTAGTTATCACCGGCCGCAAATGATCGTAAAGACGCGGAGTACAGGTCACAACTCACAGGGTTTGCCACATACCATTGTCACGATTAATAGTTGCCAGTAGCCTAGGTGTCGGAGTGAGGTGGGTTATTATTATTTCTATTCAGCTGCAGGCGTTGGGCGGGACAGACACGGGGTTAATCCCAAGGACTCAATATACAAAAACCCCAGCCATTAAAGTCGAGGTGTCGATATATATACCATTTCACGAAGCTTGGCAAATACTCGATCGAGCCAAATTCACTACCTGCCCTTGACGCAGTTTTCAGAACTGCTCCCAAACATTTCATGTTCGCCATTGCAGCTCTACGGCGTAAAGTGCAGTCAAACACGGTGCCATGTTGCGACCAGATTCGAGTTTTCTAGTCCCGCGAGTCTCCGGGGCTCTCTGTAGACAGTCCCGGAACGCACGTATCTTGCAGCTGTTTCCGAGCACAGACCTATCAATGGGTGCGTGTACTATATCACCAATAATCTGGCTTTATTTCAGTATTGAAGGCTGTTTGACCACCTCCGCTCCAGGTTTCGAAGTTTCTCCATGAACCACCCGGAAAAGTTGAGTTTCGAGCGCACCTGATGGTGCTGCAAAACGTATACATCGCGCCCGCTTGATGCCGCATGAACCATCAACAAGTTGTGCCGTGTCAAGAAGCCAACCCTCCATATGCCCCAAGCAGCCTGCTGACGTTTGAAGCGTCTGGTGTGCAGACGTTTGCTGCAGGACCGCCCAGGACTGTTCGAATCCGTCGTCCACGAGCTTATTCGAGGACAGGAGATGCGTGGAATTAGGCGCGGGCAGGCGCTTGTGTGCTGGTATCCCTAGACAAGTGAGGTTTGGCTAGCCGTGTGCTGGAAGAGGCAGCGCTGTCTTGGCGGATTGGAGAGGAATGTATTCTGAAGCATGTCGACTTGCGGTTTCTGTATTGATATACATTCACAGAAGGTGAACAAGCTCGACTGGCTGCCGGGCGTGAATGGAGATGATGAATGTATTCTAAAGAGAGTATGTTGGCGTACAATTTCTATATAGATCTACACTCGCGGAAAGTTGACAGGTTCAACCAGCTGCTGGGCATGAACAGATGAGGGCCATTTTCTACAAGCAGCTTCGTGATTTCAAGGTGTGGCTGGTTGTTTTACGTGAGACTAGATACTGTGTCCTGATATATACGGCGGATAATATCCCAGTTTTGGTTCACAAAGGCACGCTTTTCAGGATAACCATGGTGAGTACATTGGGCACTGCTCTTGTCACGACTTGCGCTGGCTGCTTGCTCCTTCGAGATGCTTTGGATAGACCGCCATCCACTTGTTGGATATCTGTTGGCTCATCGGAGAACCTGAGGCTCATGAAGCAAGACACGTCACGTTTTGCAGGTCTTTTCATATCCATCAACACCAAACAGCAGTGATGAACTTGTGGCTTACATGTATATTAGTGAACAGCCTTCCGGGGACAGCGCCATCCTCTTCCTCGAGCAAAATGGCCGGATATTCGTCACTTTCGCCCAACAGTGATTTGGTACAGGTTACGCCCGCTTGAATATGCAGAGGCTCATGTAGGTGAATTTCCCCTTGAATAACTAGCAGGATTCTACCATGAGTCTATCATTCAACACGTATTAACAAGGCTGTAATTGGAAACCAAGCAACATGTATACCTATATGGTTCATGAACCATGTAGATACGCAGCAAATATCAGAAGACGAATCAGCCAGCGTTTGTACATACACTCATCACCAAGCATCACACGCAAAGCCTCGTGTGCTCGTGTGCTCGTGAGCGTGTCTTGACCCCAACGCCAAACTAGTCTGCCCAAGCAACAGACTCAACACACGCCTCTCCTCCCACACGCGACAAGCTCACAATCATGAACAAATAACAGAATGATGCCGGTTTCTCACAAATTTTGCTAGCGCGTTTCAGAGAAGCAAAAATTCAATAATTCAACAAGGCTAAGCAGGAAATACTCTAGCGCTGCCTATTTCCACCCCAACAAGGGAAGGTGCCTCGACCCCAGATTAGGCAACCGCGGCGTACAAAAAGAAAAAAGGCCATCTGACTCACGAGTCGAGTCCAGACCGTGATATTTCGCACACCGCGCCGCCATTCGAACCTTGTCCCGTCGTCGCGATGCTCACAGCAATGGGAATGAACACCTTGACGCGATTCTCGCGTCGTGGGCAAGTGTGATGATGCCCGACACGGGCTTCGGTGCCCAAGCAGAGGGATTTGCAAAGACGAGCCAAACGTAGGAAGACATACATACACAAGCAAAGCTGTGTCCTTGAATTCCCTCTGTCAGCACACGGTTGACTTTTCTTGAGTAACAAGCCCAGTCAGCTCAAGCCGCGTAGTATTTTACACGATAAGCTTCTGACTTGGACAGCCACCGCGCACCATGCTTTCTTAGCTTCCCACGTCGACATGCGTCAGGAGAGACTCCTCTCGCCGTGGAAAAGAGAATCAAAGCTCTGCAGTTGAGACCATGGCTCCGTCATTTGACATTACGCCTCGGGGCTTTCTAGACCCGTCACGCCGGCACGACCTCCGCGTCGGCTTCACCACGTCAGCGAATACTGGACGCGACCCCATCTTCCCCGCGACCTGCCTCCAAGTATCATACAAGTTTGGCAGGTCTCGGGAGATTTTTGGACAAGTCTTTACGGCGCGGGACGTGGTGAGTGATGAGTCGGACGGCGGGGTGTATTACATTGGCGTCCCGTCCCAGAACGTGCCGGTGGCGAGGGCGGCGAGCGAGGAGCATCTAGACGTCGAGGTTAGCCTGCATGCTTGGAAGGACCAGAAGTACTTGAATAGTTGGATTATCGGGGAGATTCAGCGATGGGGGACGCTGAGTGAGGAGGTGCGAGCGGGCAGATGAAGGTTGTGGTTCAACAGCATGGAAGCAATGGAAATTACATTCGGCACATGTATTTACCCTTTGTTCAGCGGAGGCAAATAAAAAGTAAGTATCCAGCCAGGCCAGACACTTGGCCATCGCGCTCCTTACTACATGATGGTATATCGGCGTGTACTCGTCCATGGGCAAATACATCCCACCGCAGACGGTATATATATGCGCCTCAACGGCAATGAGCCAACGCTTGATATCAAGCGTGCTGGCGTTTCCTGCTCAAAACACATGACGGACAAACATCGTCAGCCATATCATCTCATTAGCTGTACCTTCACCACCAGTCTCGTAACATCAAGAAGGAACCGCATCCACGATACCACTCACGTTGAGGCGTCGCACACCCGCCATCTTCACCGGATAGATTCGACTCCAAACACACAAGCTTACAGCCCATGCTCGTCTCATCTCCAGCTTCCCTTCCCTTCCCTCCCAGGCCATCGGTTCCCCGGCAAACCACCCAAATAAAAACAGAGAGTGTGTGCCTCGGTACAACATTGCACAAAGTCCCGTATTCCTGACGCTGCCTCGCCTTTGGTGCCACCCCATCCCACGGCCGTAGAACCAAAAAAGGGGATTTACAATTTCTACAGGCGTGGGGACAGCCGAAGCGCGTACCCTCCGCCCACGGGGTTTGCGCCCATCGTCAAGTCGCACATTGTGTCGAGCTCAAGCGTACCAAGGGCCGTGGGAATGAGACATGGCGGATGGATGGATACGAGGTCCTCTTTGGAAACGCACAAGACCATGGTACGGTGGATTTCGAAATAGCCTTTTTCGCCCCCGTCTAGTTTCCGGGAGGAAAAGAGTCTGGTAGTACTACTCGGCCAAGAGGGAAACAAAAAAAAATGTCGAGGTGCTTTCAAATCACGCCCACCCATTGCGCGTCATCGTGAAAGAAACTCGGTAGCCAGGTTCCCTGCCAATGGCACACGGCAAAATCACCCGGTCAGCAAAATGGATTCCTCGCCAGCCATTTTCCCGGCTCCGTCTCGTAGGGACCATCGGGAATCGTGTTTCACAAAGAAAGAAAGAAAGAAAAGACGCCCATCCTTAAATCACGACGTGGTCACGACGTGGTCACGACATGGTCACGACGTGGCCTGGGGAGAAGGGGGAAGGGGGGGGCCCATGCAAGCATCAAGCATCAAGCATTGAAAATTTCAACGTCTATTGTAGCAACGCCCATTCCATGCTTAAATTTCTAGTAACAAACCGTCGAAGAGACCTCAAACGCGCGCCAAGCGGTAGCATCCATGCAAAACAGCGAAATCCCCCCCCCCCTTCGCTCCCCCCGAATGCAACGGCGCAACGACGCCCTCATTTCACCCGTCTCCATGCACGAATGCCGAGTTCATCTGAACTAGGTCACAGATCATGTTTGAGAGTGCTGTCCCCTCGAGCAGGGTTCTCCCGAGCGATCAAACGGATGCCGGATACCTACGACATGATCTGTCTTGGCCATGTGGAGATGGGACGCAATTTCCATCCCATCGGCGCAAAAAATAACATGAGCGGCTAAATGCGCAACAAGGGGGAACCAAGGAGAAGAAGGAGAATGGAATACCACTACTGCACCAAATACATACACCAAATACTACGTGCCCTCGTCGACGGTGCCCAGGACAAGGGGGGGCGTGACGTGCGACTTGTTTACTACTACGACAACTACTTGCTCAATACAGAAACAGCAATGCACATGGCTGGCCGTTTCAACATTGTATTGTACGTACACACATACACACGTCATCTCTCGAATCTTCCATGGCCGAATCTCGCATCATCCCGATGCAAGGGAGGCCAGCGCAAGCTAAAGCCCGCAGCGAGGAAACCCCCTCGGGCCATGGTATATACGTAAGTATATACACGCCCCTCAAATGCATTGCGCGAATGTGTTGAGAGTAGAAGAAAAGAGGCAAGGGAAAAGAAAATGGAATAGCAAACGAGATACTCTCTGTACTTGGATTCGGCGTGGTAGAACAAACAACCCCCCTCGGTCAAGCTCGTTTGAGACATGCATTGCTACTCAGGTTTTCTTTCTTTCTGTTCTACCGAGTACCATTGTTCTTCTGCTTCACAGTCGGCTTACATAAAAAAAATAGAAAAAAAAAAGACAAGACGAGAGCAAAAGTCGTCTAGAGACCCGGGGTTGGCCACCCCCGATAGCAGGTGGTGGGTGGTGTCTGATCTGCGTTGATGCTGCCCTGCCTAATCATCAGTCCATGGAGAACAAGCCAAAAGAACCGATGCCTGCCTGTCTCGTCTACTTGCTAGCTGCTCCTAAGGCGTCGGTAATCTCCATTAGACTCGGGCTCTGGCAGACTAGTAGTCTGGTGCCCTGGGATAAGATTGGGACGCACTCGACGTTGAACATCCCGCGCAAGCTAACTTTGTCTGAAACGAATCCGCCTCACTTTGGTCATTGGGAGACAGCCATCGCTAGCCAACCGTAGCACACACATGGCCTGCCTGGGAGGATTGCGTCTGGTCTCTCTCTATCAGCCAACGTCAACTCGTCGGCGCGACCAGTATCGACCGCCCGCCGCTTCAACTGACTTGTTTCGGTCACGGAAGTCGGACATTAAGGAGCGCAAAAATGCAGACGCCACCACCAACAAGTACAAACGTGATAAAAAGCGGTAAGGACAAAGTCCTCTCGACACAACCGGCCCAATGACAGTACGTAGTCGTCCTCCCCCCAAGAATGGCCTTAATAAGCACCAGGCATTTCCAACTGGTCCCAGAAGCGAGTTCTCAGTGTGGCTGAGGAGGCACCATCTTGACCAAGCCATGGCTCATGCTCATCCACGGATAGCCTGATGGCCACCCACATGTGCCACCAGGTCCAACCGTCACCTCATTGTCGCCGCAGAGCCGTTGCCCTTCGGGGCTTGGCGCGAGGGCGTCCTGACCGACAATTGCAATGCGTGGCTCCGTACCGAGTATGTACATACATATGTACGGAGTACAGCGAGCGCATAAGGAGCCAAACGACAACTTGGACCAACATTGAAGCAAGCAACCCTCGGGACGCCCTTCCCGCCCCCAAAACGAGCGTCGGGCTTAATGGATGGGAGTGGCAACATGTGGGTCGCCCCGTTGCTCGTCCCTGTGGCCCTCAGCCCATTTTTTCGCACCTTGCAACGACCAAGTACGGAGTACTACTACCACTACCACCAACCTTCTGTTCTCATCACCACCTCGCCTTGCCTCGATGGTGCAGATCCAAGATCCCTGTTGCGGACTCGGGGGAAAGGGGCGGGGATCCGAGCACTCGTCGCTGTCGTCGGCGTCCTGATGTGGCAGTCGTCCAACTCCGTCTGTACTTTGCCAATTTGCCAACTTCACCAGACCCCCGAGAATGGCCCTGTACACTATTAGTAATTGTCACAGACGGGACTGCTTGCATTGCATGGACATGTGCCGCAAATTGAGAACGCGGTACATACATACTATGTACACTAGCAGACTACATGCCTACCGAGGTAGGTGTATGTGCTTGGGTCAAGTATGTAGTACTATCATGTACTACTGCCTGTCAAGTTTCGTCACTTGTTTGTTATATAAAAATAGCACTCTCGGTATAGTATTCATGTCACATGTGAGGCATTTTATCACTTACTGACGTTTCGAGGGCCATGCCGACTGTCGACGTGTGTTGGAGGTATCAGGCTGCAACGCGGAGCCAATCTCCCTCCCTTCCATGACTTTGTGCTTTTTGTCTGCACTCAACAACTTGTGTTTGACATTTTGACACCACAACTATCCGCCGTCAGCTCGCCCAACGACGAGATATCCTGTCAAGTATTGCGATCAAGCGGCTAAGCCGCTCGCCCATCTGTCGTCTGTCCGTTAATGTGGCACATATTGCAGTTACGGGTCCGAGTAGTACCAGTAGACATGGGAGAGGTAGGCATGGGGTGGTTGTGGTTACTCGGCATTACCAAACCAGACACATCCATACCGAAGAACTCATCCGAATTGTACAATACAATAATATGTACGGAGTATTGTGCAAGGAATCGTGGCAGTCGGGTTGCTGTCACTAGACAGAGAAGATGACTGGCTGTGCCACAACACGACACAAATACAATGCCGCCCCTGGTCTCATCAACCCTTGGGCGCCATCAGCGCGGTTTCATCATTGCTTGTCTTCTTCATCGTTTGGTCGCGTTTCTTATCGCGATCGCGCGACGATTCGGCCTACCAATGGCATCTGCCGCGTCTTCGAAGACCAGTGGAGGACTGGGCCATCGACTCGTTGAGACTCAGTTGCCCTATTGCTGCCAGGGTGTAATTACCAGGTAGAAAGGTATCCACAAGTACCGAGTACATAAGTATGTATCGAGACATTTGGATACAATACCGCAGTTACAACTTGGACGCCCTCCGTTTTGCTGTCTTTTGCACCACCCGGGTTGATTTTGAGCTTCCCCGATCGCCATTGATTGGCTGTATGGCATACATAACACCTCTCTCATTCCCCACGCTGCTGTCTATTCTGCCAGCAGAGCCTGATCAGAGGCTGAAGAGAAAATTCCATGTAGTATATACATACATACGCCCGGGTCGAGAATAAGTAGTAGTAATAGCAGGTGAGCAGGAATGTTCTGTTTGAACGCGATTTGCCTGCCAGTGTGTCAGACTGCTATTATAGAGCGTGACCTCAACCGGATGCGTCAATATATTACGCCATGCAATGTGTTGAAGTGTGAGGTTATGGCGCATAATTGTCAATGAAACGGGCCCATGATCGCCCAGTTAGTTGTCCAGGGAGAAAATACCCGCATGAAGTTCTCTGTAGTATTCCCACGCTATCCGTACGACAAGGCACCATCCGCCTGGCCTCTTCAACTGCAATATGTAACGGATTCTGAAAAGCCAAAACAAAGAATGGAATAGAATTGTCAGAGAGTGCTCCGACAGCTAAAACTACGGCACCAAGAACGAACAAAAATAGTTGGTGT